TGGAAGTTAAAATCCGCCATTAGTCATTTGTCAAATCTCTATATTTATACAATTTATCATTTCACAGCCACTACCAGGGCCTGTACAAACTCTCATCAGAGTCTTAAAACCTTTTCTCCTACCTGTAAGGTATTTACTACCTGCTTACTTTGCATTATATATTCTAAATTATTGAATAATTTAGTTTTTAAGCCTATTTCTCTCTACCTTTTCCAACCTTCCCCTTTGAATCAAATAATACATCTTAGTGACATTGGTTGATCAAAAAATCTTGGCTAAGTCCCTTCAAGTAGAGGTTTGTTAGATAATTTTGATGTATAGATCATGTGTTTAAAATCAGGATGATGAAATGCACTTTGCTAATTTTGCTTATGGATGTACATAATATATCTTATGCATTTGAAATTTAACCTTAAAATGGCTTTCTCCTTGTGGTCTACATTGGGGCTCTGATGTGGTGCTTGATTGACCATAGAATCATAGAATAGAATCCATACAGTGTGGAAACAGGCCCTTCGGCCCAACAAGTCCACGCCCAACCTCAGAGCATCCCACCCAGACCCATCCCCCTATAACCCACCTAATCTACACATCCCTGAACACTACGGGCAACTTATGCATGGCCAATCCACCTAACCTGCACATCTTTGGACTTTGGGAGGAAACAGGAGCACCCGGAGGAAACCCATGCAGACACGGGGAGAACGTGCAAACTCCACACAGATAGTTGCCTGAGGCTGGAATCGAACCTGGGTCCCTGGTGCTAACCACTGTGCCACCATGCCGCCCAGGAGCTCCAATGGAATCGGGGCCTAATGAAACCAGATTATAAACCAACAATTGGCTGTATTTTAAATAATTCAAATGCAATTTTCACGGTGATATTCACCAATTTCCTAGTCCTTTTCATCTATTGAAAACAAAAGGTACGACCTTTTGGCCATTCTAGTTTTAAAAAAAACTCACTTTCACATTATTAGTTATGTGATTTTTATCCCAGCCTGGAGTCTTTGTCTTGATAGCTGTTGTGTGGGAGATAAGGACCGTCCCTTACTTCCATCTATTGTACTTGAAGGAAATTGGTCTGCACGACCGTAAATCAATGTTATCACCTACTCGACATGCTTTCACTTAATATGGCAGCTTTGTAGCACCAGTTTCTGTGCTCAGCAAAGCTTCTCACTAGATCAAACCTAAGCTGTTCTACAACACACATTTCAAAGGTTTGGGAACCGGAGCAGCAGGTCAGTAAGAATAGAGACTGGAGAAGAGCTTGCGTCTAAAGCAAATATAACTAAGAGGAAGAGCAGACAGGGAGAGGTTACTGAACTCCGTGGAACTGGAGGCTTGGACTGTAGGTGCTTCAATGCAATAAGTATAACAGGTAAAACAGATGAACTCGGAGCCAGGATTAATGCATGCAATTATGATGTTCTTGCAATCACAGAGACATGATTAAAAAAGGGATAGGATTGGCAGCTTAACATTCCGGGATATTGACGTTTTATATGAGACAGAGGAAGAAACAAAAGAGGTGGGGAGTTGCATTACTGGTTAGGGAGCATGTCACAGTTTGTGTTGAGGGAGGACACCCTGGAGGAAATTTGCAGCGAAGCATTGTTAATAGAGCTCAGGAATAGGAAGGGTGCAATCACAATGCTAGGATTGTACTACAGACCTCCCAGCTACTAGCAGGAGATGGGGGAAGCGATAGCTTTCAGATTCTGGAAAGATGTGAAAATAACAGGGTTGTTGTGGTGGGTGATTTTAACTGTCCCCTTATTGACTGGGATTCCCTTAGTACTGAAGGTTCGGATGGGGAGCAATTTGTTAGGTGTGTCCAGGAGGATTTTTTTGAAACAGTATGTGGATAGTCCAACAAGGGAGGGGGCCATACTGTACCTGGTATTGGAAAATGAGCCCTGCCAGATTATCAAAGTTTCAGTAGGAGTGCACTTTGGGAACAGTGACTATAATTCCATAAATTTTCAGATACTTATGGAAAACAACAAGATTGGACTTCAGATGTAGGTGTTAAATTGGGGGAAGGCCAACTATGACCAAATTAGGCAAGAATTGGAGAATGTGGATTGGGAGCGGCTTTTTAAGGGTAAGTCCACATCTAACTTGTTGGGAGTCTTTTAAGGACAGTTGATTAGAGTGCAGGACAGGCATATTTCTGTGAAAATGGAGGACAGGATTGGCGGGATTTGTGAACCTTGGCTGACTGGGGAAATTATCGGCAACTAAGGTCTAGGCGACTAAAAACGGACAAAATCCTTGAAGAGTACCGAGACCGTAGGAAGGAGTTCAAACAGGGAGTTAGGAGGGCTAAAATGGGCTATGAAATGTCCTTGGCCAGTAGGATTAAGGAGAATCCCAAGGCATTTTACATATATAAGGAGCAAGAGGGAAAGAGTAGGCCACTCAAGGATAAAGGAGGGAGGTTATGTGTGGAGCCAGAGGAAATGGGTGATATCCTTAATGAGTACTTTACATTGGTTTTTACCAACGAGAGGAATATTGAAATTAAGGAAAGGTGTGTGAATACTCTTGGGCAGATTAACATAATGGAGGAAAGAAGTGTTGGGTGTCTTGAAATACGTTAAGGTGGACAAGTCCCCAGGGCCAGAAAAGATCTATCCAAGGATACTGTGGGAGGTGAGAGAGGAATGAGCTAGGGCCTTAATAGATATCTTTGTATCCTCTTTGGCCTCAGGCGAGGTTCCAGAAAACTGGAGAACGACCAATGTTGTTCTTTTGTTTAAGAAAGGAAACAGAGATAATCCAGGTAACTACAGGCCGGTGAGCCTGACATCAGTGGTGGGGAAGCTGTTGAGAAAGATACTGAGAGACAGGATTTATTAACGTTTGGAAGCAAATGGACTTGTTAGTAATAGGCAGCATGGGTTTATGCAGGGAATGTCATGTTTCACCAACTTGATTGAGTTCTTTGAGAAGGTGACAATAATGATTGATGACGGAAGGGCAATGGATGTTGTCTACGTGGACTTTAGTAAGGCTTTTGAATAAGGTACCTTATGGCAGGCTGGTACAGAAGGTAGAGTCTCATGGGATCTGGGGTGAGCTGGCTAGGTGGATACATAATTGGCTTGGTCATAGAAGACAGAGAGTAGCGGTGGAAGGGTGTTTCTCAGAATGGTGATCAGGAACTAGTGGGGTTCTGCAGGGATCAGTGCTAGGACCTTTGTTGTTTGTAATATATATAAATGATCTGGAGGAAAATGTAGGTGGTCTGATAAGTAAGTTTACAGATGATATCAAAATTGGCAGAGTTGCAGACAGTGAGGAGGATTGTCAAAGGATATAGTGGAATATAGGTAAATTGCAGATTTGGACGGAGAAATGCCAGATGGAGTTTAATCCGGACAAATGCGAGTTGATGCATTTTGGAAGATCCGATTCAGCTGCGAATTATATAATAAATTGTAGAACCATTAGGAGCATTGACGTACAAAGGGATCTGGGCGTGTAGGTCCACAGATCCCTGAAAATAGCAACACCGGTGGATAACCTGGCCAAGAAGGCATGCAGCACACTTGCCTTCATCAGCCCAGGCATTGAATGTAAAACTTACGGCTGTACAAAACTTTAGTTAGGCCACATTTGGAATATTGCGTGCAGCTCTGGTCATCACACTAGCAGAAGGATATGGATGCTGCGGAGAGGGTGCAGAGAAGGTTTACCAGGATGTTGCCTGGTTTGGAGGATTCTGGTATGAGGAGAGGTTGGATAAACTCGGATTGTTTTCACTGTAAAGATGGCAGCCGAGGGGCGACCTTATAGAGGTCTACAAAATTACGAGAGGCATAGATAGGTTGGATAGTCAGAGGCTTTCTCCCAGGGTGGAAAGGTCAACTACAGGAGGGCTCAGGTTCGAGGTGAGAGGGGAAAATTTTAGGGGAGAAGTGCAGGGAAACTTTTTCACACAGTGTGGTGGGTGCCTGGTGCCAGTGGAAATGGGAGAACCAGCATTGTTAGCAATATTTAAGGCGTATCTTATTAGACTCATGAACGTGAGACAAACAGTGGGATAGATACTGTGCGTGGGCAATAAGTAGTGGGTCCAAATAAGGATCAGGAATCGGCACAGGCTTGGTGGGCCTAAATGTACAAACTTATTTTCCATTTTTCCTAAATAATTAGACAATCGTGCAGATTCATTTTTGCTGTTTAATATTCAGTAAACAAATTGCATTGAAAATACCACAGTCCTTAGAAATGAAATCAGAGATAGTAGGAACTGCAGATGCTGGAGAATCCGAGACAACAAGGTGCAAGGCTGGATGAACACAGCAGGCCAAGCAGCATCATAGGAGCAGAGAGGCTGACGTTTCGGGCCTAGACCCTTCATCTGATGAAGGGTC